CTCTCTCTCTCTCTCTCTCTCTCTCTCTCTCTCTCTCTCTCTCTCTCGTCTCAACTCCCTCTGGGCATCAGTTTCCTTATCTGTTTAAAAAGGGGACTGGGACTCAGTGAATTCTCAGTAGCCACCCACCGGAAACAAAGTTTTAAAGATCGTCTTTATTGGTATTGTCATGGAAATACCCCATTCCATCTGGGGAGGTTTTCTGGAGCCTGGAGGAACCAGGTGAGGGGGCGCAGGATGCTATGGATCACCCGGGACCGACACCAAGTCTTCGTCTGTTCTTCCGCCTCATTAGGGTGATTCCGGTACCTGGAAGCGTCCAATAAAAGAGATCGTTTGAAATGACTTAAATCTCTTTGTAGCCAGTCTGAGCGGCGAGGGAAGTGTTTTCCCGGAGTTTTTTCTCGTGCCTTTGTTCTGCAGGCGGCACGCTTCGGTTCCCAGCCGTATCCAGAGAAGAGCCGCCCCCGAAGGCCAATCACTGTTAGAGGGGGGTGCTCGGACCTCTATCCCTCCAAACCCCGAAGCCGGCGCGCGAGGGACCTGGGCACTGCCCAGCAGGCTCCGGGAGCACCGACTGATGGTGCGTGGGACCCGGCCGGGAGCGCGCCCAGGCCAGCGCCTCTTGCTGGACCAGTCTCTCACTTTGGCCAAAGGCGGAAAAAGCAGATGCTCCTTAAACCCACATCTTGCGCTAAATAATTGTCCGCGCTCGCTGTTCTCTCACCTCCGGTCAAGGGCACAGTCAGATTTGTTAGGAAAGTCAGTCCAATAGTGAGATGCTTTTCAGAGCCGCCAGCTACGGGCAGCGGAGAACTCCGGTGACGAAAAATGCCAACTTTGGGCAGTTTCACGAATTTTCTTCTTTCTCTAATTTCAAGCTGGCTGCTCCTCCCAACCAGAGGCGGAAAGTCCACGCAGAAAAAAAGTGACTTGGTCATCCCTCTGCCTCTCTTCCCCCAAAGTTCTCTTTCTGAAAGATCGTGTAGGTCAGGGTTTCCGATTAAAATCACTCTCGCGTAGTCGCCACGAGGCTCGGGGAGGAAACGAAGAGAGTGTCCACTCTTCCCCCAGGAGTTTTGTCGGCAGATTTTTATCGTATTAACCGACTGCCGAAGGTCTGGCCACTCCTGTCCTTCAGTTGTTTTTATGCTGTTTGTCTTCCAAACGTTAAACTTATTCACACTTTTCTTTTACACACATATTTCTTTAATTGTGATAGGTTAAGATAATGTATCCTTTAAAATGTTTTAACATAACTTCAGAAGTAATTCAAAATCACCTCTGAGACTATATAAACGTTAATTTCGGGTCTTATTGTACAGATTATTAGAATCTTTCTTGTCTCTATAATCTTGGAATGTTCCTAAGGAGTCTTTAACCTTTAACAATACAAATGCATACATTTTTTTAACGTTAAAGCCAAATCAATTAATTACATACTTTTTTTTCTAAGTGTATTCTGGTGTCCAAAGAAATGTCACAGACTCTCTGCCATATTTAGTTTCAGAAGAATTAAAATCTTTATTCCAAGTTGCCCTAAAAGTATGGTTCAGTAAAACATGTTAGTAAAAGAAGCTAATCGAGGGGTGCCTAGGTGGGTCAATTAGTTGCGCATCTGGTTCAATCTCAGCTAAGGTCTTGATCTCAGGCTTGTTAGCTTAATTAAGCCACACATTGGGTATGGAGCCTACTTTAAAAAAATTTAAAAACTGATTGAAGTGAAAATTTGAAAATAAAAATAATTAAGTAGTGGTGGTGTTTATTATGTTGTCTTTCATTTCTCCAGAAAATTTGAATGCATTAGCAACCCTATAGTTTGGAAGGATATGTTTTCCCCCAAAATTCTGTAAATAACTGATTATAAAGCTTTTGCCTATTAAGCAAACTAATTTTATTATATTGTTTATTATATTCTCATATTATTTTATTCTATAAAATCAAATGCACTTAAACTGAATTTTGATTATTGTTTGTTACTATCCTTCCATTTTTTTCTGCACTAGTATTTTCATTGATTCAGAACACTTTATATTCACAGCTGGCTCTTCCTTCATTACTATTTTGATATAGTAAAACCTCATTAATTCAAAAGCAAAGGAAGAAGGCTTTGCATTTGCTAGGCTTAGATGAAAATCAGGAAATTAATGTAAGTATATTTACATCGTATTGACCAGGAAACAGACATCATGGTCTTTGAAATAAGTATCATTTTGAATGGACCGCAGATGTATGCGCTGACCTAGCAGAGATTCTGGTTCTACTGGGTCTTGCTTTGATGTAAACAGGTATCTTCTGTAAATGTCTTGACACGAAATACCCATAGTTTGTAATCATAACACAAATTGATTTTTACACAAGGAAAGTTTAGATCTGAGGGGTCTTTTTTTGTTTTTAAGAAAACGCCAGTCCAATTTATTTTTGCCACTGTGTTCACATAAACAGGCTACTTAACGGCGGAAACCTGGCCATTAGTACACACTCTAGTTGGGTGAAAGGAAGTAGGTAGAAAACAAGCAGAGTGGATGAAGTTATTTGTTTGCTCCCCCCACCCCGTTTTGTTTGGTTTTGTTTTTGACTGAGTACACCAGGTTAATGAAACAAACAAACAAAAAAACCTTTTGTGAATTCAGGAATATTCTCACAATTTCAGGTACAAATCTGCTTCCTAGGGGAAAATCCAGTTTTAGTCTGTATCAGAATCAATAGACCAAAGACCGCTCACCCAGCTGTTAAAGGTGGAGAAAAAACTGCCGGCTTCCGCAAAGGGGCTATCTATCAGTTTCGAATTCCGCAAATAAAGAATGTTTACATGACGTTGTTCACAGACTCTTGAGAAATCGCTTTAAACTGTGCGTGCATGCGCCCAGGTGGCCTGACCAGGATTGCTAATTACCTGCAAGGGTATCTTGCGTCTCAAATAGGGGCTTAGTAAATTCAGGTGCCGGTTAATTGATTAGCGTTCTGGGCGAGGATTGGAACTCAAAAGCCGCGAGGCTACACCAGCCCTCGCCGCAGCGCAGCCCAGCCCGCCCGGGTTTTGGGCAGCAGAACCGCAGGAGGCTGAACGCGGCGCACTTGCGAGGCGCGCTCTGGGCCGGGAGCCTCGGGATGCAGGCGGTGAGTGAGCCGGGGGGGGGGTCCGGGTGTCCGGGTGTCCGGGTGTCCGGGTTTAGTCTGGGCCCTGTCTGGGCCCTTTCTCCGCGGTTCGAGGGGGGCCCAAGGGCGCGTGGTCCGTCGGGCTCTGGGGGCAGAGGCTGGTGTGTACCCCCAGAGACGCGGCATCTGCTACCATGCCCTGACGCCGGGGGGGGGGTGGGAAGAGCGGGTTGGGGGGCCTCTTGAACCCTTCAACCTCCTTAGGTTTAATTGGAGTTTATTGGGAGCTTTCAGTGAGGCAACCAGGCAGGATAGAAGCCTCTGATCCCTTGCTCAGAGAAGAGGAAACCGGAGAATTAATGTTTAGAAGGCAATGAGATCCTTCTCTATTTGCTCCGGATGTTTTCCCAGCCCCTGTTGCTCCGTAGACCTTTCAGTGACATTAACCCATCTGGGCCCCAGACCTACGGTCCCAAGTGCGGGGACTTGGGCTACTCGCACTGTAGATAAAGGTCCCTAAAACGCCCGGGGCCCCGGATTTGGGGGTGGATTGGTACCCCCAGTGCTTCCACTTCTCAACGTTCATTTAACCCAAATCACTGCTGGTGAAAAAATAAACAAGCCTGGATCTGGGTCTTTGAATTCACCCAACTTTTCATATTTGTAAATAATGATATTGTATCATATGCTGACATTCAAAGATCTTGGTCAAGTACGTATAGAAGACTGCGAGCCCAAGCTAAATTTTTAAAAAAACCTCTCTAGAAGATATTTGAAGTCTAGTTTTTGGTGTGTTGTACTTTTAAATAATTGTTGGGATGAAGTGAGCAGATGAAATGCTGTTATTTAATGTGGCATAATGTGTTGTGAAAACCAAGGTGGCAGACCCAGGG